GTGTAAACTTCATGGAAGAGAAACCTAGAAAAAAAAACTTCCATGTCCATAGAGAAATCACAAAAATGAAAACAAACACAAATCCATATCTTCAAATTTTCCCAGAAAAAAAATGAAATCTATTATTCTTCTTTCTTTTAGTTCCTTCAACGAAATTAAACCCCAAAAAAACTTCAGATCTAGTTTAAATTCATACCTTCCAATTTCTCCAGAAAAAATTCAAATATGTTCTTCTTTCTTCTTACTTTCAAAGAATTTTTATGTCTATCAAGTTCATGAAAATGAAACATACTACAAAACTGGATTTTACTAAATAACAAACAACCTCTCAAATCGCAAATGCTTCGATCGAGACTATACACCAAAAGGTTATAAATCAGAATGTCACAAACCCCAAAAATTACTTGCGACTGGTTTTCTATTCGAATCACGAAAGCTTAAACTTGAAGAGCATAAGCTATGGAACCAGGAAGGCTAAGAACTTCAAAAGGTGGTTTATTGTCACCTATTTCACAGTCAATCCACATGAGTCTGTAATCCAGAAATAGCTCAGACCTTCCGCGAGATCACCTGCATATAGACATATTCAAGATTGTAACTATGTCACAAAGAAAAAGAAAACCCGAGTCATAACATTTGTATAATGGTTGTAACCTTTGGTGTCAAGCTTGAAACGTTTCTATGAACTCTTGGGGAATATGCCGTGTGTCACATATGCGCTTATTTTCGCTACTCCATGTGCAACTAAGACTTTCTGAAGAGAACAAGAATTGGTGGTGAGTTATAAAAAAGTAAGAATAGAGTTATACGTTTTGAGAGTTGAATCTAATTAAGTACAGAACCTGTCATTCGGTTAGTGTGCCACCCGACTGAACCAAATCATCGACAATCACAAAGTGCCTTCCTTCAGCATCACCTCTTTGATACGCACTATTCGTTTGTCTCCCATTCTAACTTTCTTCCCGCAACGTCCCAACATCTCAAGAACCTTATCCTTCGATCCTATATCATAACAAGTATCAATATTTATTTTCTAATGGTTTCTTTTCTTTAGTTAAAGATGCTTAACTAAGAAAAGCACAATATTCATTGACTAATTACATAATATATGTGTATACTTACTCTTATCAGAAGCCGAGGTGGGAGTAGTGATATGAACGTAAGGATTATCATTACGACCGTTGGTCTTGTGCTTAGCCATCGAGTCTTTCTCGTTCACGGGCTTGTATTGTAGACTTATTGACAGGGCCGGCCCTAGGCCCAGCCAGATGAAACATGGGCCTTGGCCTCCAAAATTTCTAAGTTAATTAATATTAAAAAGGATCTCTAAATTAACCTTTTTGTAATAATAAGCCCCCAAAATTTTAAAATATTAACATGTAGTGTTGTTTTTAAAAATTTGTCTACAAAACCCCAATTTTTTTTTTTTTTGCCTTAGGCACCTAAAATTTCAAGGCCGACTCTGCTCAT